TTTTTTTTTTTTTTTTTTTTTTTTTTTGTACCAGGGATTGAACTCAGGTCCTTGCGCTTGCAAGGCAGGCCACCGAACCACTGAGCTAAATCCCTGGCCCATAACTTAGCTCTTTTGACAGAAAGAGACCTAAGGTTTACCTTGCTGCCTGACAAGGTTAGCCTGCATAATTTCATGGATTCTGGGTTCATAGATTGATGGATTCATAGTTTCCTGGGTCAGAGACAAAGCCCAATGTATTACAGCAATAGCAGAAGCCAGACTGACAGCATTTGCACCAACTCTTGAGTATCAGTTCTCACAGGTAATGTTCATGCAGTGAGCTGTATTGGGGGGACCTTGAATTTAAGACTTTGAATCTTGGGTTCAGGGATTTACCTCAGTGGTGCCACCGCCTGCCTTGCAAGAGCAAGGTCCTGAGTTCGATCTCCAGTACCAAAAAAGAAAAAGATTTTGAATCTTTAATAATGGACAGCAAGTCAGCCTAACGTTAGCTCCAAAGAAAACGTTATTATATTGGGCCAAAAACAGTAATTTTCTTTTGAGAGAGCCATTACCATTCTCTTGCAACACTGATTGCTGTTTCAGTGCCCTTGAGAAGGTAGTGTAGAGCAAAGGCGGTCATGTCCTCTGCTCACAGGATGTGCAGAAGTGTGAGAGACCTATGGGGAATTGCCTCCAACACCTTTACAATATTACAAGCGGGGGAACAATAATAGGAAGTAGTCATATTTATTCCTTCCATTCAGCTAATACCAAGTGCTAACTGTGTTTTAGTGAGGTAAGGCTTTAGAGGGAAGTGGGCAAGAAACAGATCTGGTAGATGAAGGTTTCTGAAGTGTAATATAAAATTCTCTCCCACTGGAGCTGGGAGAGAAGGTGACCAGTTACACACACTGCTTAGGTCTTTAAAAGAAGCTTACAGTATTTCTAATTAGAAGTAAGTACTAGTAATACTGTAAAAATGAATATAGTTTGTTCCTGGCTAAGTGTTACAGTTTGGTGCAAATAAAAGGTAACTGTATAAACTACCTAAGAAGATTAAAATGAATAACGTCACTTTTTTTTTTGCTTCTTTTTTTTTTCACTGTACCAAGCATTGAACTCAGGACCTTATGCTTGGGAGGTAGGCACTTTGCCACTGAGCAAAATCCCTGGCCCTGAATAATGTATTATAGAAAGGACATAAACTAAAAGTGTAACAACTTGATAATACCATCATAAAGGAAAATTCAGGTATCACAGTTGCAGCGTTCAGTTTTCCCTATTCAAAATAAAATTAGACTTAGTGATTTAATATTTTAAAAAATCCATCTCAGCCAGGTATAGGGGTGCACACCTATAATCCCAGCACTGAGAAGGCAGAGGCAGGAGTATTGCTGCAGTTTGAGGGCAGCCTGGGCTATGTATATTGTCCAGCCCAGCATGAACTACATAGTAAGATGCCCATCTCAAAAGAAAAACTATTTTTTTTAAATTCAAAAACCCCATAATGGTAGTTCTTTTATTTAAGCTCATTCGATTTGTTGAAAGAATTTGAGGAGCTTTACAAAGTGATTAGAATAAGAGAACAGGGTGATAATTTGATATTCAGAGTTTACAAACATGTTCTTTATAAAGGCCAGGTGTAATATTAAAACTAGCTCTGAACAAATATTTCCAGTGCACCTAAAGTTGCTTAGCCCCTGGATAGATTTGTCTGATGATCTAATTTAGTACAGAGTTGAAGTTCAGAGAACTTAGAATATAAGCATGTTATATTAGTTCTTAGATGGGGCTAGATAGGAAAGAAAAGGTTATTATCATAGAATATTGTAATTATTTGCATTCAGTCTTCTCATTTAAACTGAAGGCCCTCTGAACATTTTTATTAACATTTTTATGTCATTGGCAGTTCTACTAATCATATAATAAGTGCTTTTAGAATGGATAGACCACTAAGGATGTATTCATTATGTGTCACAAGCATGTAATAAAAACATTAAAATTAGAATGGATAGAAATAGACATTTCAGGAAATTCAGAGGGAAAATTATCTTAGGAAATTCCAGAGAAAACAGAACAATGGTAGAGGTGTTAATTTTTTGTGTGGTGGGGAAGGGGGAGTTTGTAGAGGGAAAGCATCTAAATCTAAATTTTGAAATGTAATGACTTTCCTTATAACCAGATGAGGTTTTGGTAAAAGAATAAAAACAGCAGAGTGAAATAAAGCAGATATTCCAGAAATAGATTCCATTTTTCAGGACAAACTCTATGACATCTGGGAAAACAAGGGGAAACTGCTGTGCTTTTTCCTAATTGCTGCTGAAGAGGCTCAGTGCGCTCATTATATGTCATTTTAGGTCTGTGTTTCATACTCTGCGCCTTACATTTCAGACAGTTTAACGAATGAAACATGAAAAAACTCTGAAGATAAATAACTTAACTTATTTCAACGGTGGAGAGTAGACAAAGTGATCTGTTGAAAAATTATTTTTAATACTCGGGTCAAAGGTTTAATGGTTTTAACTTTTAAAATGTATGCAGTGAATAATAGAACACAGCTAAAATGAAAGGCAAAAAGTAGGAAACTGTGAATCTAAAGAAGAGCGTAATGTTACAATATGTATAAGTTTACTGTGGGCGGTGCCTCAGCTTTTCCAGATGAGGAGTCCATTGTAACGTGACTGAGCATCTTCTCAGATGACCAGGCTAGGCGGCATGCTGGCTGCAGGCCCCGGCAGCACCTGGTACTATGGGTGCTTGGGCACCTGCCAGGTTATTTTGGTGAAGGGAATGAGGGACAGCTTCTTGGAGGATGAAAAGTGTGAACTGAGCTTCAGAGGCATCAGTGTGGGGACGTCTTGGGCAGCTGACAAGGCCGGTGAGGTGTAAAGGCAGCCTGGATAGAGAGCACCAATGCCACAGGGGAGGAAGTGCAGGGTGCATGGGGAGTAGGGTGGGCTATCAGGGCTGAGTGCAGCTCACAGCCTCAGTGACCAGGCCCTAATCACGACGGTTGGCCTGCAATACATAGATGGGTTGAAAGTGAGAAAGAAGAGCAGCTAAACTGTAGGCATTGAGGAGGGTGCTTTTTTATATAGACTATTTCTGGGAAGAACATGGGGAAAAATACATAAATTACAAGTATGAAATCAGTAAAGCCAAGGGAAAATTGTAAAACCCAATGTCGTCAGGGCCATGGAGAAATAAGCACATGCACAGGGCTAATGACAGAAGAAAAAAACTGAGAAGAACTCAGTCTTTACAAGATTGTGTGTACCTACAGTACATCAAAGTGGAAAAGTAGCCCAAATGTGTGGTGGTGAGGATGGTTAAATAAATAGGGTAATATAATGGAACATTTTAAAGTCATCAAAAATGACTAAGTAGACTAGCTAAATGGAAATCCAAATATATTATGTAAATTATTAAAATATATATTACATATAAGAATACAAAGAGTGAACTTTGGAGCTATTTAAAATATAGCACTCTATCCATGAATTTCTCCAGCTACCAAACAACCTGTGGGTCGCTTCGTTTCAGGAGCTAAGCATTGAGGAACAGTCAGAGTGTACTCAGGACTTCTACCAGAGTGTAGCCGAGAAGATGCAGACTCGCGGGAAAGGTGAGCCAGCCAGTGCCAGCCACTGTCTCCTGGGTCTCCTGGAGCTGCCGGGCCACTCCTCATCACTTAGCCCTTCTCTTCTGATGGCCCAGTGGGCTTCACACACTGCACTGTGAGCCACTCCACTGACACCACCCCGGGCTCAGAGGCCAGGCTCAGGCTTGGCGGTGCCTTTGAATTGCCACCCTGTGCATCCAGAGCACAGGATAGCGTATTGATAGGAATGTGGGTAAAAATGAGATGAAGTAAAACCGTTTGGAAACCTTGTCTAAACAAGTCCCCCCTCCTTGGAATCAGCATCGCAGTGAGTCATTGTTCATGATGATGTGTGATCATCAAGAGGGTTGGGGTGGGGAGAAAGAATGACCACTTAAACTTTGGCATTGAAGAGATTCTTCTGGAATTTTACTTTACTGATGTATTTAGGATATGAGTTTATCTGAGAAATTATGCCATGTGTGTACCTCAGAGAGATTGCTGTGGTTTCATGGCAAACCTCAGAAAAATGAAAATGAAATGTTGGCAACCTTGCCAACATTCATGGCCTTGGGATTCTAAGTGCTTTACAAAGTAGCAGTAGGGAGTCCCACCCCGAGGTCCTCCCACTTGGCAGATGTTCCTGTGAGGTCTGTCAACACTGTACATTGGAAGTGGAGATA